TGCCTGATTCCGCACCAGAGGAATACAAGAAACTTGCCGAGCGGTGTTGTGATGCTGATCCCGATAAGCGTCCAGATGCAGATTCAGTTTGGAGTAATATTAACAAGCTTATTCAAGAGGTGGAGAAGGACAATTCTTATTCTGTCATTGAAGCATGGAATGCTATCTATCATAATGATGTAAAACCCTTATCACGTCTTGAGAAGGAAAGTAAATATTCTAGTAAGCTCTTACCTACTAGGGATTTGCCTAAACCAAGAAACAGCTAGGATTCTCATCAGTTACTCCCGTACCAGATTTCAGCTTGCCAAGTTGACAAGGAGTAAGGAAGGTAGTTTGGATTTAGTGGTGGTTATGAAGACAATAATTGGCTCTGTTCATATAAACGAAGTCAATCTACAATATTACATCGTCCACTGCTTGCAACTTAGTGATAGTAACTCAAACACTCTTTGAATAAATTTGTAAATCACGGGTTACTTACAGGTTGTACGAGTTTTATTCAAGGGTTTACTCCTCTTTCAATTATAATAAATACGAAACACCAACGCGTATACTTTTAAGAAATTGTTTAGCTTATGACTTTGATTGTAAGCTTTCCCAATTTGAATGTTCTGGATTGCAAATTCCGTTATTATATTGTTTGCAGCTAGTAAAATAAATCGCGTTTCACATAACCTACAGTGGGTGATCAAAAAGTATTCGTCACTCCTTGAAATTTACTAGTAAAACATATGAAACCCTTTTTTTTTCTAAAATCTCGATTGTACGTATTTACTATGTATTTGGGTACCGTTGTGAAGCTAATTGATTGTATTTTTCGAAAAAATAGTGATATGTTTAGTTCCGTTATTGTACTAAAGCAGCTGTTCGATTAAGTGATAGCATGTTACACGTATGATTTTCATGTGTAAACTTTACTTAGGCATGTCATGTCATCGGCTTCTTTGTAAAGCTTAAATCCCGTTGTTGTGGCAAGCCGATCTGATGACTCAGGTAAACAAGAAAATATTCCTCCGCAGTCAAGCATCAATGTTAATATTTAGAATGGTAGTGCGTCGCGCAATCCAATGTCAGATACCGTGTCGAATTTTGAGTGTCAGGCGCCGAAAATGTTTCGATTTTTGAGTGCCAGCACAAACGCCTTAGAATATGGTTAGTTCTCCATAGAAATTACGATTATTTAATTGTTTTTAGCCACGTTTCGATTTTTGAGTGTCGCTAAAGGTATATAAGCAACCCTTATCCCATCATCGAATATAATCAAATAAACGATTCCCTTTGAAATCGAAATTTTACTTCTTTCATCGTTGAAATATTAATTATTTGACCGAACACACTAATAAACGGCTCACTCAAGCTGTAAACGTCCATAAACGGCTCATAAGTTGTCCGTTAATCTATTACTCTTAATTGAGGAACGAGAGCCAATAATTGTGGGATAGGAAGTGTGCAAATTTAATTATAATAGATAGTTACTTGTAGATTAAAATTCAGTCTTAATTGAACAACAACCGTAATAAGGGCGATAGCACAAAGCTAATCTGGTAATAAATCCCGGTCGGAAGAACACCTTACGCGAAAGATAATCGCTCTCCCAAACCCAGACCATCAGAACTGTTATAATTATAATTTTTTATATTTGGATACTCCTGTATATAAATTTTATTACAGGGTTGACAGTTACATTTTTCGTTTGGTTCTTTATACTTCTGATAATGTCATCAGCATGAGAGGATGAAGTTCACATAATACAATCCAAAATGCTTTTGTTTAAATGTTTTCAGTGTGTGGTTTTACAAGACTCGCATTATTGAGCATGGCAAGCACGTGTTCTCCACTATAAAATGCTTTGAAACCTGACACTGTTCCATTATAATCATGCCTCTTCATGTAAGACCCACTTATTCCTTATCAGCTAGGTTTTGGATCAAGATAGTTGTGATAAGGAACTCACTTGTAAGTGCAATAGCATTCATCGTCTTGCAACAGAGATGGAAGTTCTTTCTTCATTGGGTTGGGAAACGCATCTAAGATCCCACTGATAGCTGCTGCTATCTCATCGTTCTCTTTAACAATCTCAAATAGATTCTGAAAACATCGGCTTCCATATACACCATAGATGATACCATAGTGCAGAGATTCGAAATCTTCCTCATCAACAGAATCCCTTGGAAATTTCAAGCATTTACATTAGCAGGAACAAAAAATTGTCTCTTAACAGAAATAATGAGGGGAAACCCACATTCCCTCTTTTTTGATCCCGTTGTTACGGCGAGCTGATCTGATGAATCAGATAAGTGAGTCAATCTTCAAACAAACACTAATTTTAATCCAGTTTTACAAAAATTTAAATTAGTAATAATAGCGTTTCGAAAAATCAGTGACAGTACAAAACGCTATAATTGGCATAACTAATTGATCTTATATAATTAGACAAAAGTGCGTTTCATTTTTTTAGTGACGCTTGTAATATTGCCCTGCTGTGAAATAAAATAATACTACTGATCTTAGTACATAATCAACCTCGTTAATCTGAACCTCGTTAATCCGAATTTCTCGTTAATCCGAAGAAATATTCTGGTCCCGTTTATTAATATTAATAAGAAATTTA